AGAGTAAAACAGATTAAATGAAAACAGCAAACATTTAAAAGTATATTTAGAAGAATTTTATGAGAAACTTCAATAAAATACACCCACAAGTTAATCTTAGAATTATTATGTTAGATTTTTTGTTTTAGCTTACATAAAATGCTTTTCTCAGTGTTTACTGCTAATGAGATTAGCAAATGATAAAACGTATCTGTCATAACCTTTTCTAAATATTCATAATAAAATAAAAATACAACATGAATCCCTTTAAGGGACTTAAACAGCACAATGAAGGATTGACTCTGTCAGGAATATAGAGGAAGATTTGCGGGGGACAACCTGGTTGTAACTATCAACATGGCCATCAATAACCATACTATATTTTTAATAGCTTTCTATTACACTAAATTGTACTATTAAATGCTTTAGTGATTTTAAATAATTTGTTGTACAAAAATGAAATCTCTTATAAAGTAATTTATAATCAAATAAACACACAAAACAAAGACATTAATACAGAACTAGTTTTACTCTATCTTTCTTTATTGAAGGGGAAACAAGTGTGTGTGTCTTTATTCCTGGGAGAAGGAGCGTGCTGGACAAAATGATTTTCTATCTGCCTCAGAACGTGGGAACCCCTATCCATGATATCATGAGCCACTCAGATGAAGCAGTGGTTAAATTCCATCCAGTTCTCCCTCCCTGCATTAAATCTCAGATATGAATATTGGACCAGACATAACTAAAACACCATGCAAATCAGGGTCTTGTAAGTGCCTCAAAATAAAAGTCTTACTTGCACTTGGATCCAGCTTTTTCACCAACTTTCAAGAAGTTTTCATAGTTAATCATTGCTTCATCCCCCATCATAGGTGGTGTCTGATGCTCATCCAAGAGAAACCACAAATTCTTAAAGAGGAGATTTAAAAATGATGAGGGAAATACTACATAGCGGACAATAACATTTTCAAAAAATTGATCTGAAATTAATTTTTTCAGTTTCTTCATACCTGCAATTCTTCATTATCTAGCAGTTCTCTACTTTTTCTCTGCAAAAAGACTGCTCTAGATTCTTCTCTTAATTTCTGTAACAATATTTCATCTTCTGCTGGCAGCTAAGAAAAGAAATAAGTTGTAATTTATAGTACAAGTATATTTTCAGACTTGTTTATATAAATTTATTTCTGCTACAGGAATTCTTAAAATACAGTAACTTTTTATATAGCTTGCTTGCTTTTCTTTATTTGATGGAGAGATTTTTGGCTGTCTTTTGCCCCTGCCTCATTATCCATTGTTGCTAATGAAGAACAAAGAATAATTAGCAATTGATAGAACTTGGCTTCTCCCATGCAGCTGTCAACAGTTGCTCCAATTTCTTTCTATAATCCAATAGGTATAAGTTTTCCTTTATAGCCAAGGAGTTTTTTTTACTGTTTTAAACAGAGAACAGTGCTGAAAAATAAAAAATGTAGAGAAAAGTAAGCTAAACAAGAAACTGAATATTACCACTTCCACAAAGTATGCCTAGGGAGTCTAAACTCTTAATGCAAATGAACACGTTTAGCATCCATTCTTTCTGTATCCAATACACCTTTCTCTGCTGTTGCCATTTGTCTTAGCAAGCTTGGAACTGAGGTTTCTGTAGCCTAATGTTCTCAGCTTACCATGTGCAATTCCCTAATGAGGTTGTTTTTAAATTAGCATTGCTATTCAAAAAAGAGCTGGAATGTTGTGTCCATGGCCTTAATTCCTTCTTATTTGATCAAGGAGGCATTCCATGGTTACCTCTCTAGCCTCTTCCCATTCTCATCTGTGCCATCCTGTCCACTTATGGTACTGATTTTCTAACTGCTTCTCGGTCTTGATATTTCAAGAAAAAAATGAGTACCCCCCCCCCGTTGGAAGGGAACTTTGGACATACCAAAACTAAGTGGCAGCTGAAACAGAGAGAAATGGAGTGTAACCTTTTTTCAGGCTTGTCTAGCACGTAACCTTTTCTAGTGACTGTGAGGAACATTGAGCTTAATGAGTGTTATGCTGAATGCAAAATCTGCATATACAGTCTTGTGAAAAAGAAAGTGCATCCTCTTTGTTTTCAATGGTTTTATGTATCAGGACATAATAAAAATCATCTATTCCTTTGCAGTTCTCAAAAGTAGGTAAATACAACCTCAGATGAACAACAACACATAACATATTATACCATGTCATCACTTATTTTACAAAAAGAAAGCCAAAATGGAGAAGCCATATATG